AGAGTCTGATTTAAATAAAAAAAGAATGCCAAAAGTAGGCTATAACATTTATCGTCTCTTTTATTGGATGGCCCTGTTTATGCAGCTGCTGCTGTGTGTATAACCTCATGACAGTGAGGTCTGCACTAAAACACCTGATTCTCCTTTCTCCCCTACCCCTCCTTCCTCCATCCTGGCAACATCCTCAGCTGTACCCTCATGACGGTCCTCGGCTCAGGGAAGGCAATGAACAGGCTAGGGATGTACCCAGGTAGGGTGGCCGACTGTCCTAGTTTGCAAGGCTTATTGTGCTAAAACTAGGAAAGTGCTGGGCAAACCAGGATGAGACGGTCACTTAGACCTGCCAGTTTCTGGCTGAGCAAACATTGATGCTGGTGCTCTAATCAGGCTGCTTGACACAGAGGGAAAACCAGACTAGGAGCCAGCCAAATTTGGCTTTGAATCCAGCCTCTCCCCTTACAATGGGTAAGATTCATGTTGACCTCCCTGGGCCTTTGTCATCTGATCTAGAAAATGTAAACAGTAAGCCTGGTGTGGAGATTTAGCAAGAGGATGCCCACAATAAATGGTTATCTTTCTATTCCCTATATTGAAATCCTTACCTGGCTCTTTCACAGGGTATAAGTGAGGCCTAGGCATCTACACGGCCTTTAGGATTTGCAAGGGGCTTCTACATAAATGATCTCACGTGAGGATTCACAAGTGAGGCAAACAGTATCATCAGACTCACTTTAGAGACTGGGAAACGAAGCCCAGAGTGGAGGAAAGACATCTCAAAGGTCACTCAGTTGACAAATGGGACTCCACCCCAGGTCATCTGGCCCCATTTGCTACTGCTCACCTGAAAAGGTCACAAAAAAACCCCAGCAGGCAATAAGCAGGGGCAGGTAAGTCTTGGAGTTTCCCCATGTAAGGAAGGTGGGGAGGAACCTGTTTTCCAGCAAACTCACTCAGCTCTCTGCTGCTGCCATGAGCCTGCGGCCCAGCCTGGGGAACAGGCAGAGTTCCAGATTGCCTAATCAGATAATTCTGCCCTTGTGCTCCTGTTTTGTACATTCTTGGAGCAAGCCATTTCAACTGAGCTCTCTACCACACCTGCAGAGTCAGGGCCGATGCCTTGTCAGGTAGAAATGTCAATTCTCAATTATTCCCCACTGCTCTAGACAGCAATACCGTGAGAGTGACTAACTGGCATTCAACACAACTTGTTTTTATTGAGTGCCTCCTCCAAGGAGGAGGTGTGTGGGATGTGACACTTGGTTCACTGTTGGGGGGATGAAGCTGTGCAGTATGGGTGAGAATTCAAATCCAACTAACATTTCTTTATTGAACGGCTGCTCTTGGCGAAGGCACATCACAGGCTTTGTCCTTTGCTTTATAGGCTTCACCTGCCTGGAATGTCTTTCCTCCCCTCAGCCTGGCCCTCTGTGGGACCTGCTTGCTTTCTTACTCCTACAGTCCTTTTCCCATAGGGCAGCCACAGGGACACCTTTAAACCCCAGAGGTTTGCCTATCTCTCTACCTGCACCTCCCATCACAGCCCCTCTCTGTGCTCTGGTCACAACTGTATTTTTTTCTCCTTCTTCCTAAACACTCCCAATTCCTTACCACCCCTGGCCTTTGCTCTTGGTCTTCCCTCTGGAGGGAATGCCAAGGCTGGCTCTTTCTCATCCTTCAAGGCTCAGCTCACGTTCCATTTCCTCAGGAGTCCTTTCCTGACCATCTTATATAAAGTCGGTCACCCCCACCACCCTCTTCTTACTGATAGTTATCCAATCCCATTACCCTATTTTATTTCCTTCACAGCCCTGCATGTGTGTTCTCTCTCTCTCTCTCTCTCTCTCTCTCTTTCTTTCTCACTCTCTTTCTCTCTCGTATTCTCATTTATTCACTCATTTATCACTTGCATTCTCCCAGAAACATGTAAATGCTTTAAGAACAGGGACTTTGCTACATCTACGGCTATATCCTTGGAGCCCAGTAAACCCACTCAAATATTTATTAAATATTATAGAATTTGTTTGTCTCTATTTAAAACAAAAAGGTTTAAAGCACGGGCCTGAAAGTAAAGCAGACTTGTGTGATCTTCCTACTTACCAGCTGGGAGAAGTCACGGCCTCTCTCCTTTTATTCTCCTTTATAAAAGAATCAAGAACACACTCAATGGGAGTTATCACCATTAATTTTAGAGCTGTGTTTCCCCCATGAGTCCAACACCCCTGATGGCAGGCACTTTGTCATTCATCCTTGCATCCACATGCCTTGAAACTTCCCGTCTCCCTTGGCATCCTCTCTATTTCTTCTTGTAGGACATGTCACAGTGTCCTAAAGCATCTATTTATTTCTCTGTCTCCCCCACTATGCTGAGCTCCATGGGGACATATTAAAAAACTAGCACAGTCCCTGTTGTAGAATGAATGCTTGGTGAATAAGACTAGCAGCCACCTAGTATGTCTTCAAGAAACGTATTTTTAATTAAACTCCCTAGAAAAGATATTTTTAAACATGTGAATTAGAGAATAATACCAGGTAGTATTGAGTGCTGAATTACATATAATAATAAAATGTGTAGTATAGATACAGGATGGCAAAGGTGGCCCACAGAGAGCTCCAGGGCCAGGCAAGAAGCCTAGGTAGGTGAAGTGGGCAGGACCAGGACTGGGGCCAATCAGACAATACATCTCACCAGCAAGGCACCCATGTTCCACTCCAGCTTCTATTGACATCCTGGGATAGGGCCTGATGGTCTCATATCTTTACATTTTTTCAAGAGAAGCTGGACATACAAATTTTTATATGAGATATCTCAAGTTTTCAAATTGTTGACAATTGACTTAAATTTTTTAAACCATTCTTTGAGATGAGCAAAGCATGTTTGGGAGCCATTTTGCAACTTCTGACCAAGTGCTCTAGGTGACCAGATGGAGGCTGGACTCTAGACAGGCATTAATGGAAGAGTCTACAGCAGAGGCCAAGTTTCAAAAGGCATCATCTCTTTGCTTACTCGTTCCCTCGCTCGTCTTATAAAACCAGGAAGGAATTCTTGATCTATGGCCAAATTTTCCCCTAAAGCATCCATGAGGCCTTTATTGAGCACCTGCTAAGTACCAGGCACTCAGTGATAAAGATGACTCTAGGCCTATCCCTCTGAGACTTTATAGTTGGTCAGTTCAAGAAATGTTGTGGAGCCACTATTGTACACCTGACTAGAGCTCAAGACAACAGGAGAGACACATAGACAACTAGGCATCATTTCCTCACCCATTAGATCTTTGGCCCAGAGTGCTGGCAGTAAACTGTCATACTACTGTGTTTTCCAGATTCTCCCATTCGCAGCCATCCCACCCCACCCTACCTAGGGACAAGGTAGCCCATCACATTTGACAGTAGCAGAGGTTTCCCAGTCTGACAGACATGGCATGACTGGCCATTGCCTAAAACATCATTCAAGTAGCAGCAGCCCCCAGACCAAGTGTTATCAAAAGTTCGGGAAGACAGGGGCACTCATCTGATCACATGTGTCAAAGGCCAGTCTGAGATTATTTTAATAGAGTCTGCAGGGCACAGAGAAGTTTCATTTTAGTCTCGCATACTGTGATCTTAAGACTTGCTGAAGGACTAACTTCCATCACCGCCCTGGCAGTATTGACTGTTTGAACTCAAAAGCACATAAGCAGATTGATTTTTTTTTCTTTTCTGAAACTAGAAAGGATCACAGTAGTGTTAGCGTAGTTTCGTTTCCACTGGTTGGTATACACACTGAATAAATAACAGTGTTACCTGGAAGAATTTAGTCAAAACAAAGTGATGGAAAACAAGGTATAGGGCTGGAGTTGCATCCTTAAATCCACCACAAATTAGTCTGTGTGCTTACAATGAGTGCATAAGTTTGGCTATTGGAAATGGAACTGCCAGCCAATCCTCCACCCCCACCTAGACCCAATAGTTTAAAATATAAATAAACAAATGAAAAAAAAATCCACTTTGGTAGCCTACATCTCAGGTACAAGAAATGAAACCAGTAAGCGAGGGTGAGGAGAACCTCCTTTTGTGACGCAGGTTAATAGGCAATACCCGTCTCCTGTCACTTCCCTAAGTCAACAGGAAGGAAATATATCCACCAGGGGCCTCTGCTAATTTGTTTCTAATTTAAGGACAATTAGGCAATTGCTACATTCTTCCCCCTCCCCCAAGAAAAGCAGCTAGAGCTCCATGCATTCTCTCACCACCCAAAGAACTGGCAACTCTCTGGAAAACAACCGACATAATGAAATGCACTTTGTACTAACTTCGAGGGACACAGAATAAATAGAATAGAATAAATAAATAGAATAAATAGAACGCTGGTCTAAGGACCCAGCCATCAACTAAGTCTTCGTTCTGTTTTATACTGTTTCCTTTCTGTAATTTTTTTTTTTCCCCAAATTTTCCCACTACCAATTGAAAACATTTCTAAGATGAACCAATTTTCGAGCTGTCCTGGTAAAATATCCTTTCTTCGGATCTTTTGGACAAGAAACTTTCCAGGAAAGAAGCGAGAGTCCCTAACGACTGCTCCTCTCCAGGTACTCCGCAGAGAAGAGGCGAAAGGGAAAGGAACAAACACCAAACTCCCCTTTCCTCTCTCATCTCTGCACTGGCGGGTGGCGTTTGCCTTCCAACTTCTCAGAGCCACAGCTCGGAAAACCACTCAAACACCCGGGTCCTGAGTGGCCGCTGCACAGCGCCAGCCCCAGCCGGCGGGTGGATTATTTACCAGAGGGATTTAAACCCGCTCCGGCGCGGGGGCGTGGCCGGGCGGGGCCCCGAGGACCCGGGTGGGCGGGGCGGAGGCGGGGATGCCGGCGGCTCAGTGCAGTGCGAAAAAGACCGGAGCTGGGGGAGCAAGCGCCTGTCTCTTTAAATGCCACGGGCTGCGCTCCCGCCCGGGAGCCCGGAGCCGGATCTACAATCCCCTCCCTCCCGCTCCGGCGCTTGTTGCTCGCCCGGCCCGAGCGGGAGCTGCTGCCGCCTGGCAGCGAGGCTGCCGCGCTCTTCTCCTCGCGCCCCACCTCCCCCAGAGCTGGCTGAGGGGGACAGCAGCCCCAGCAGGAGGGAGGGGACGCGGTGTGAACGGGAATTTCCCCCACCTCCAAGTCTTGGGGTGCACCGCAGCCGCGGGGGGAAGACATGCGTCGCTCCCCTCTGCCCAGCCTTGCTGCCGCTGGCGCTGGGAGAGGAGGGACTGCGAAGCCCACACCTGCAAACTCCCCCTAGAACTCTCGGGGTGCGGCGGCGGCCCCTCCTCAATCCCCACGGCCTTCACCTCTCTGCGGGCGACTTTGCTCAGGTAAGCCGAGCCGGAGGGAGGGGCGGGCGAGGGGGGAGGAGGAAGCGTTGCAGGTGAGTCAGGTGGGGTGGCTCACCTGCCCGGTTCGCTGCCGGGCTCTTCGCAGGTTCGCCTGGGGATGGAGGTGTTGGGAGCGGGGAAGAGTTGCCTTAAGGGCTAGTTAGGGTCCAGGGGCGGGAGGGGAAGTTAGGAAAGGGGGGATTGGAGTAAAGTTTCTCTTTCCCTCCCCACCCCCTGCCCGGCCTTGGCAGGTAGGGCGCGGGCGGAAGCGGTAGGAGCTGCTGATGCAATGGGCTTTTGCCAGGGCCAGGCGAAGGGCTGGGGGCGGGGGAGAGCTGGAGTTGCCCAGTCTCCTGTGGCCCTGATCTTAGAGGTGGAGGAATGAGAAAAGGCTCGATATACGCAAGACCGCCCCTAAAATGGCTCCAGGTCCTCAGCCCCCACCCGTTCTTTCTTTTAAGAAAAAAACGCCCTTTTCACGGAGGGGCTCCTACAGGGCTTTTTCGCCTTCCTCTCCCAACAGGTGGCCTCAGCCCCTGTCCGGGGACTGTGCCAATGACCCTAGTGGTGGTTTCGTTTTCTCCTCTGGCGGCGGTGTGAACGTGTGTCCGCAACGTGATGGGCAACCAGGTGGAGAAACTGACCCACCTAAGTTACAAGGAAGTTCCCACGGCTGACCCGACTGGCGTGGACCGGGACGACGGGCCCCGCATTGGGGTCTCCTACATCTTCTCCAGTGACGATGAGGACGTGGAGCCGCAGCCTCCTCCCCAAGGGTCCAATGGCGGCAGCTTGCCCGACGGTGGGGACGGGCCTCCGCTGCCCCAGCCGCAGCCCTACGACCCGCGGCTGCACGAGGTGGAGTGCTCCGTGTTCTACCGCGACGAGTGCATATACCAGAAGAGCTTCGCGCCAGGCTCGGCGGCGCTGAGCACCTACACGCCCGAGAACCTACTCAACAAGTGCAAGCCAGGCGACCTGGTGGAGTTCGTGTCTCAGGCGCAGTACCCGCATTGGGCGGTGTACGTGGGCAACTTCCAGGTGGTGCACCTGCACCGGCTGGAGGTGAGCAACAGCTTCCTGACAGACGCAAGCCAGGGCCGTCGCGGACGCGTGGTCAACGATCTGTACCGCTACAAGCCGCTGAGCCCCAGCGCGGTGGTGCGCAACGCGCTGGCGCACGTGGGCGCCAAGGAGCGCGAGCTCAGCTGGCGCAACTCCGAATGCTTCGCCGCCTGGTGCCGCTACGGCAAGCGCGAGTTCAAGATCGGCGGCGAGCTGCGCATTGGCAAGCAGCCCTACCGGCTGCAGATTCAACTCTCGGCGCAGCGCAGCCACACGCTGGAGTTCCAGAGCCTGGAGGACCTGATCATGGAGAAGCGGCGCAACGACCAGATCGGCCGCGCGGCCGTGCTTCAGGAGCTCGCCATGCATCTGCACCCGGCCGAGCCGGACGAGGGCGACAGCAACCTGGCTCGGACTACGCCGCCTCCCGGGCGCCCCCCTGTGCCCAGCTCCGAGGAGGAGGACGGAGAGGCGGTGGCACACTGACGGGGCGGGCGAGAGCTGATCGCAGAGCTGCGAAAGGGAGCTGTTTGCAGCAGCCGCCGCTGTCCCCTTCCTTTCTCTCTCCCTCCTTCCTTCGCTCCTCCGCCACCTTCTGGGCCCCATCTGGGATTCCTGGGCCCTTCGGAAAACGGAGAGTGGGTGAAATGCGCAGCTGGCTGTGGACAGGGGTGGAGGAAGGGGGCAGAGGGATCAGGTAGGAGCATTGGGAGGGGGGTAGTTTCCTTCCGACCCCCTTGATCTGTCCTTTCCGCGGTGGGGCAAATTGTAGAGTTGCCTGGCACTTAATGCTTGCTGAATATGGTTCTAAAATCGGCCTTTATGCATGTAGAGTTGGAGAAAAGTAGGAGAACCAGTGTGTACCATTGCATCCTCTCCGCTTTCCTCTCTGCTCTGGGCTTGGAGGATTCCTGGTACAAACTCCCGAAGCGGGTTTGTGGAGTCTCCACGGAGAGCTGCTTATCTGCTTCCCCTGCGGAGCCGGGCTGTGTTTGGGATCCGGAGGCTGGGATGATTTATTTTATGGGATTCCTGAGGCATGGGAGGCTGGCAAAACCATGACAACATCTGGTAGCGGCAGACCAAAACCAAGCAGCCCCCTGTTAAATGTAACAAATAGTTGAGCACAGTCGGGCTACAAACACAGACTTTGCTACCTCCCTCCTCCTCAACCCCAAGTAATTAGTCTTTAGGAACTGACTCTTGGCTAAGTCTCCTGCTTCACCTGCCCCTTCCCAGAGTACAAGTAAATCATTGTCAAGGGCCAGCCACCGGAAGGATTCAATTAAGGCTTGTTCTGCTGTCTTTGTTTCTCCCCTGCTGTTGTAGGCACTTATAGCTGAGTTGTTATCAGTGGAGGGAATGGCCCTTTGTGTCTCTGATCTAATTAAACCTCAGCTGTGTTCATCTGCAGGTCACAGATGGGATTGGCTTGTGCCACCCCGTAAAGTAACTACTATGGAAGCAGCCGAACAGGGCTGCCCTGGCAGGAATTAATCTCTCCTGCTCCCCTTCCTGAATAGTGAAGGTAACCCTTTTAAAAATAAGGCTTTGATGGTAATCCTGGCTTATTTTTTTTTCCTCCTCTCACTGGCCCATCCCCCTCACCCTCACCTTTGTTCTGCTGGTGGTAAAATCTTAGGCTTGAGACATTTCAATAGTAAGACTTATTTTGCTAGCCACACTGGATGGAATTTAAGGTGCAAAGTCTTGTACTGTAGCAGTTTCCTTATTGCTTGGAGAACACTCCTTCAGACTCCTTTCTTAATAGAGGTGACATCAATCACAGTTGCCACCCGGTGTAGTCAGCACCAAATCTGAATTTGTTAGCAGTCCGAAAGTACAGGTTGGTGATTGTGGGATCTGTTAGCGGAAGGCTGAGCAGATGATTTGGTTCTGGTACGGAGCTGTTTGCTTAGTATGAGACTTTTCCCAACCTGTCTCTTCTATTTCTGTGAGCTCTTTAATGGTGTGTGCCCTCAATTACAGAATAGCTTCTCTGCCGCCTGTTGCCAATACTGTCTCAAAACTTGTATAAAGTTGGACTTTTTTTTTTTAACCACCTCTTGGCAATTATTATAAACTACACTGTCATTTTGTGACCTAATTCTTAATAGTTGGAATAGAATCATACTTGAGTGATCCAAGACCAGGGCTGTCCTTGGGCCTCTTGCCTGGAGATCTCTAAATCAAGGCAAGAAGTCTTGAAGGATTTTCTTTTATACTTTTTTTTAGATGTGGAAGTTGAGGCCATAACTTTTAAAAGCCTTCATAGCACCTCAGCATGAAGTCTTTCGTTATAATTACAAGGGCATTAACTACATTCCCTGTTTTCACAGTGATCACCAAATAGTTCCCGTTACTTTGATGGTTAGAGATGAACCATACTCTAGCCCTGGTCTAAGTCTTTGGAGGGAAATCAGTTTCTTGTTGGAAATGTAGATCTAGTTTCCATGTTTAATATTCTCACAGCTCTGTGTTTATATTCTCTTGCTCAGGGAAAAGTGGAGCGAGATGAACATGGCTGAAGACATTTAGGAGAGCCTGCTATGTCTAACCGATTCGGGTTTTCTTTCGTGTATAACACAGTAGTGAAAGTTGAAAGTAATATCACTGTGCAGACAGGAGGGAGGAGGAACAGAGTGATACTGTCCTGTGGCTCTGGGCTAGCCAGATCACTTTTCTGCGCCCCCACCCCTGTCTCCTTCCTCTGTCCCAAAATGTAACCAAAAGTGAATAATGTGGTCACACAGAGCTATAGCAGTGATTGTGTGGTGTTACAAATGAACTGCTCTTTCTGAGACATTTCAACTCGAAGGAGGAACTCCTGTTAAATCCACACCAGTGGTAGCATTCTACCTCTAAACAAGAGGTTTTTGGTAGCAGGGCTTGAAAATAAACTAGAATAGGAAATCTATTCCAGATGCTGTTTTCCCTTATAATGCAAGTATTTCTATAAGGTACCAGATATGTGAAATATGTGATACTTAAGAACAGTGATTTTATTGGAAATTTTCTTACGGTTATAATGCTTAAAGTAAAGCAACAACCAACCGGTGAAGACTCCACGATAGGGAATCGAATCAACTCTTGGTTTTTTCCTCGAGATGGCAGTGTTGTGGATAAGTGAGTTTTTAATGCCCTGGCAATGGCTACGTTTGACACTTTAGAAGAAATAAATATATTTAATAATTTTTGTTTCTCCTTAGGAATAAGACTTTAGAACTATTTTGTACTGTGAATTACAGATGCTCTTTGAAGGAAAGAAATATCCATTCTAATGTTCTTCAGAAGCTCTGGCAGGGATAAGCAGGACATCGACTGGAACATATGCTAAATGAAACCAGACAAATTCTATTTTCTTACCTAAGCAAATATTTTATTGCAGCTGCTTATGTATGTCAAAGGAGCCCACAACTTCAGCTATACACCTTTTTGTATTGAAAGAACTCATACTTTTTGTAGCTTTTATTCCACATTTAATTTAAAATGGCTTTGTAGCACTAAAATGCCTAACAGAAGACGACTCCAGACCTTTAAGGAAATGTTTAGTTTTTATGAAAAAGAGACTACAGTGGTTAATCGTCTCATGTCTTTGGTGCTGCTGGCCCTAATAGCACCACTGGACAACACCACAACCACATGGAAACATATTTTTGGAAGCAGAACTTTAATTTTATATGACATATACTATGGAGAGCTAAGAAAATTTTAGGACTACTTGTTTTCTATTTTTTTTTCTTCTTACCAAAATGGAATCCACTGTGTTGAAGACTCTTGATATGTGCTTGTCTAACCATTTTTTATAAATTAGAATAAAATCTAGTGTGATCATGGTCATCAAATGGATTTGTTTGGAAAGTTACATCTTATTTTTGAATTTTTTTTTAAATCAGGGTAACTATGAACTTGACTGGATAATTCAGCTTTTCATTAGGTTGTTTTGTTCTTGTCTATAATATTTGTGATCCATGGAGAATTACATTGACTAACAGGATAAATTCCACATGCATTTTATTTCCCAATGAATTGTGTAAACTTTATTTTTGTTGAAGGTTGTATGTTAAATCAATGTTATGTTCTTATACCACTTCTTGAGAAGGAAGTTCCAATTTGAAATTGTATCATTTCCTTCAAAATGAAGGGCAGTGCTTAGTTAAATAAAAGATTGATGATATCTTTTAAGCCATTTCCTCTTCACTCTGTCTTATTAAAATAAAACCTGTCCGGTCCTTATGAAAAATGCTATGAGGGTTTCCAATAAACCATCTTTTAGAGTTAACTGAATTTTTTTTTTCCTCTTGTATATCTATTTTCTGACATTTTTGGTCCAAATTCAAGCTACTTAGCTTACTGTAATTTCTCTAGAATATTAGTGTATATCATCATCTTTGCATTGCTCAGTAAACATTTTGTTGAACTCAGTAAAAATCCTACATTTACTCTGAGGATTAATCATCCATTGCTTCTAAGATATCAATGTTCATGAAAAATGTCTCATAAATTTTCAATACACATTGATTTTTGAGAATCGATGCAAAAATTTCTGGAAGCCACTCACATTATGAAATCTACACTGAGGAGTTTTGATGTTTAGTAACCCGTGTTTCATCTCAGGTTGTTTCAGAGCCCCAGACAAAGGAAATGTGCTTGCCACTAATATAATTACAGAAAATGGGTAAACATGGTCACATGGCACTGTTGGCATGATAAGGGATGCAGGTGCCAGCAGTTGGTAAAGGAACAGATGTGGCATCAGACTGGCATGTGGGAGGCCACTAGCATTCCCTAGGCCAGTGCCTGAAACCTCTGCCACAATCCTGTGAGGTTCAAATTCCTGGGCTTTGCAAATAGGCTCCTGTGAGAATTTTAAATAGGAAAAATTGAACGCTGGAGATTATAGGAAGCCCAAGCAGCCGTGAGACCCTTCATCCTTAGAATGGGATTCTAATTTATCACGGTTTACGTTGTACAAGAAAGTACAGAAAGGGGAGCCTAATATAGAACGTGCATTTATTCTTGGGTGATTAAGGTGAAGGCTGTCCTTCCTATTTCTCAAACTAAGTAGGCTGTGCTTAATGTAGGAAAATGACATGTTTGGAAGCATTTAAAAGGACTTCCAAAATGAGCAGGCCCAGAATATATGTAGAAGGGCTTTTAGTTCCTTTTATCGAATCTACTGGGGAAACTGCTCATTAAACAAATATAGCAATTTTATCTGCAGAGTAAATGCAAGAATGGCTAATGTCTGTATTTACAATTGCAATAAGGCATTAAGTGTCAATGAAGGGCTAAAGGATGCTGAGCCCTAGCCTAGGAAATAGAAATAAACAGATTAAAAAAAAAAAATGCAAAACAGTCCTGCCCCTGAGCTTGTTTCTAAGAAAATTTCACTCATACATATAGATCAGATAATAAAAGGTGGCCCTGTAAAGTACTGATGGTTGGTAGGTATTCAAATAAAGCTGATGTATCTAAGTTTGATTTAGAATTTGAAAACTGGTGTTAGGTAGGTATGTGGAGTGTGTACTCCTGTGGGAGAAATCAGACCAAAAACATGAAGGTACACATGATGATGGGGGAAAGGATATAACCAATATATTTACTAAATACTTAACTTGGAGACTCCTTAATTCCCAGTGCCTAACATACAAAGATAAGCCAGATCCATAGTTACTGTCTTCATGTACGTTGCATTCTAAGAGGCAAGACAGATGACTGCTTATTAAATTTACACGGCGTTTTATTACAACTGTGTTAAGTGCAAAGAAGGAAATGTACAATGTGTGTGGGAGAGGATCTCTCTTCATCCGTGACTCAGAGAAGGCTTCCCTGAGGAGTATGCTGAGCCTCGGAAAGGTCAAAGAAGGAGCCAGGTGCTTCGAAATGGGCACTGATTACATTAAGGAAGGAAGGCTGGAGAGTGAATGAATGAACCTCAAGTGCTCTCGGAATGCCTTTGCTCATGCTCCTGGTATTCATCCATTTCTCCTTGGGGCTCTTCCACAACATGTCCAACTTGTATCTCCAACGAGTAACACGTGACCAGGCAAAGAGATCCCCATTAAAAATTTTAGTGAGTGAATGAATTTTGGGTTTGGACTCTGCTAGACTAGAAAGCCCCCAGATTATTTCAAGGTGATGTTGTGACTATGGTTTGAAGAGAGTGAACATAGCAGTGGTTTTTAGGGTGCATTGAACCTGGAGAGCAAATGAGTGGCTCTGTCCTCTCCTCCTCCAGAACTGGAGATTGTCCTGTTAAAGTTATGGATGCTTTAAATTGCCAGCCAGGTTATGAAGTGGAGTGTGAAGGCAGGCGATTGCCCGATGCTGGTGAGTGGACAAGGGGCATTGGCCAGGCTGGAAGGAAGGAAGTAGCGGTAAAGCGGAGCAGGAGGTTTTATAGCCTGTTACAGCCTTGGAATTGTGATTGGGGAAGAGGTTGTTTTGTTCACTTGACAAGCCACTGCTATAATATAGTCTCTAGTGCCTTGTCAAATGTAGCCATAACTGACTCAAAAGATGAGCTTTTTACTACTTTC